ATGTATATACATATATACATATATGTATATACATATATATATATATATATATACATATATATATACACATATATATATATATATATATTGCATCATTAATTTTTTTTTAAATTAGAACCAATAGAAACAATAGAAACAATATTAAAAGCTAAAATAATATATATATATATATATATATATTGCATCATTAATTTTTTTAAAAAAAATAGAACCAATAGAAACAATATTAAAACCAATATAATTTTAAAATAAAATAATATTTATTAATGCATTATCAAAACCAATAGAAACAATTTTAAAAGCTAAATAATATTCTTCTAGAATTATTTTTATTATTTTATAAATGTTATCAATTGTATATCGTTGAATACTCTAAAAAGCAATAATATATTTTTACATGATCTAGTCATTGTCTATCCAATGACAAGTAACACCTATTTAGGAGTACATTTATTAGTGATCACTCCAAATATTAGAACAACTAAAAACATGATTGTCCAAAGCTTAATTTTTTTTATAAATCCATTTTTTTTATAAAGATTATATAAAGTATGAGTAAAAGTGGTACAAGAAACTCCCTATACGACTAGATTTAAACTCCCTTGACAATAAACAATAAATCTGACTTTTTCATTGAAACTAACAAAATTAATGTTCAATGATAACTAATCTAAGTAATGCTTTACCCTTTTTTTCAATGAAAAAATAAAAAGTGAGAGAAATATGGTACCAAAAAATTTATGATTAACTCTTTGTCATAGACTTGCATTAAATATCTCTTCTCAATATATTTTTGAGAATGTTCAATATCCTCCTTTGAGCTTAAAAATTTGGGTACAATATTTACATATGACATGGAAGGAGCCATCGAAATTTTAGATATTCTTGAAGTATACCTTGAATATGTCCGACTTAATTTTAGTCGATGTATCGATGATGTTCGACTTGACATTAGCATTAATGTGTTGCCTTTCTTGAGTTTTCATTATTAGATTTTTTAAAGGTTCCTCGTTGATGAAGTGCTTAAAGAGAGCCTAAAAGCATTTAAACTTCAATTAGTGCATAATCATATATGCAAGAAAAAAATGAGAGATTTGATGGATATTTAAAATTAGTTATTATATGGCTATTAGAACAAGTAAATCTATCTTTTTTTATTTTTTTAATTATAAAATGATCAACATACCCTTGAATATAGTCATTGAATATAATCATTTATATGATTGATGGAAGGGCCAAATTGGTCATTTACCCCTCCACTAACCGTTGGACTTGATTGTTTGAGCCCAACTGTTCCTATTTTGTAAAACTTGAAACTGGAATCAAACCAACCAATTCGGGTTCAATTTCGAATCAAATCGAACCGATCAAGCCTAGTCTTTGAAGCTTTGCTTGACAATGTTTCAATCAACCAGTTGGACCTCAAACTTACAAACATAAAAGATTCCTTGATGCATGTGTTGAACTAAAGTTATCTTTATACAAAGAGCAAAGCAAAGCTTAAAGCTAAAGTTTCGAAGATTTTAAAAGGTTAATTATAAATTATTCTTTATAATTAGTTATCTTTAGTAATTTGATCCATATATTTTTAAAAATTATATTGGGATCCCTATACTTACGAAAGTAAAATATTAAGATCAGGATTAAAAATATAATTTTATAAGATTAAAAATAAGAAAGAAATTTTTTTTTTGTTAAAGTAACGAGATTAAATGTTTCATTTTCATACGAATAAAGATCTTAATGTAATTTTTGAAAAGTATAAGGATCGAAATACTAAAAGTAATTAATTACATAAAATAATCTATAATTAGTTTGATTTTAAATGATACTCAATATCCCAATGAACTTTACCACCAACGGGACTTCACTCGGATCTTCACCTGATGGTGCAAACTGTACTAACAAGCTTTCTTATGCGTCATACATATTATCATAAATATGAAATAACAAATGCTCAAGTCACAAATACCATGATGGAAATAGGTTAAGCAACAAAACATTTTCTGAAAGCATAATTCATGTCGAGAGAAGCTTGCATACCGAAGTGAAATAGCATGAGAGGGTCGAACAAAATTACCTTGAAATGATAGTGCTCACATCAAGATATCTGCCAGGGGTTGGTGTCCATCTCTCGCCGTCTCCTGACCTGCCAAAGCCAAAGGTCGATGAATCCGATCACATGAACACATTAAAGATCAACGAGGAAACCGATACTATCAAATGGAATGGCCTGACTTTTTCTTTTTATTTATCGTGAAAGATTCGGTTATTACATATAATAACTAAGCCGGGAATCATCAGAAGCAATACCTTAAGGGAAGGAGCTCAGAAGCTCAGAAGCAATACCTACTAAGGGAAGGAGCTCATAAGCAATACCTACTAATATTGAGTAATTCAGAGTATAAAAAGAAGTGCAACAGCGAACTGGTTTTTACCTTTTGCAACAGCGATAACCCAACCAAAAAAAGTTGATGGAGGTACTTAATGCAACAGTTAAAAATGGTAGATATTGTCATGAATCCAAACCAATGGAATTAACAGTTCCTACTAGCCTCATTATTTTACTATTCACTGATTAAAGACATAAAAAAATGTTTTATATGTCAAGACGGACTTATTCCCAAGCCCACACACCAGCTAGAACAGACCTTGACGTTATCAAACTAGTTAATATTGATCAAGAAATACCTATTGTTGGGAGAAATATCATCGATGTCTTGATCGTTCTGACATGGACTAGACTCGTATACGTAGAATTCTCAAAGATGTCTTCGAGATCCATCATACATAAAAACCGAGATCGAAAGAGGTTTATTGACTCAAATTCATCCGATGTTAAATTAGTAACCATGAATAGTCAAAGAAAGTTCCACCTTTATTGTCTTTTTCATCATAAATGATGAGAAAAAAATCTTACTATTATCTATCTCGTCATAAATAATAAAAAAATTATAATTGTCTTTTCCATCTTAAATGATAATGATGTATCGGATGATTAAAACCAATAATGTGTCCACTGCCTACCCGACCAACATCCCAACCAAATGAGCCCACCCTCAACCTGAAGTGAAACGTGACATCCTCAGACTAATGAATGCTGATCAAGAGACATCAAGGACCACGACCAAAGGTAAAACATGGTTTTATGCACCACATTGCACCGAATAACATGAAAGGGGTACTTCAAGATCTACAAGGCCACAGAACAAAGAAAAGGCAAGTACATACAATGCCCACATTTTCATTCCTATTGATAAGCATGCAGGAATGAAGTAATTATGCCTTTCCTTCACTTGCAAAATGCGTCTCAAACTTGAGAAAATTTACTTCAAAAAGATTAACAAAGATAATTAAAGATTATGGGTAAGAGTTCGCCAATGCCTCACCCGAGACCTCTTTGAGAGTAAGACATCCGAAAGAGGCATAATTTAGGAGTCGGTTCAGAATTGAAGGGTTTGAAAGATGCGACAGAAGGAACATCCTACAATGGCAACACATCGACTTATTTATCGAGAAGCAATTCCCATATTGTTTTGTGCAGTTGTGCTGGATCTAAACCGGCTTATGAATCAAGACTCCCCTCCAAGCTTAGTTGCTTGAGACACACCAAAATGAAGTAAAACATCAAAAGTAGAACTATATTGTCGCTTGCATGTGTATTTTTATGAATCGCATCGTCTGATTCTATTCTATTGCGAATGGCATCTTCCAAACATTTGTCACCGCGTAGTCTAATAGATCGGACAATAGTGGGCTAAAACAATGCTTGAACAACTGAAGGAAATCAAGATCCATGAAATCAAGAACAAATAAACAAGTGTATATTAGCTAAGAAACAGAAACGATTTCCACGAGAGAGATCATACGCGTAGCTTTGATCGATCGCCGAAGACGGCCTCTCTCTCTCTCTCTCGCCTCTTTCTCATCCGTCGTCTCCTCGTGAGCGGTTACCCGTGAAGACAAACAGAAAAAATAAAGATGCGACGCGAAGTTTCTGGAGATGCGGACGCCATAGGAAAGTAAAGCGAGTTGAATACGTCGACTTGTCGAAGCGGCCATGCCGCCACGTTTTGGGTTGGGGGTCCAAGTGGACTCAGTTAGCTGACCCGAGTCGATGTCGAGCTCTGGTCCACCCCAAGCTTAAAGAAGGATCCACGATAAATCACAATTGGACATGGATATATGTGAAAAGCATTAATTTGATTTCATTAAGTTAAATGTTCTTTAAACGAAATGAAAAGTGGGCTAGTGGTAGATCAAATATGTCGATGACTTGAAACATGTTACTCTTTTCTCGTCGTGCTCCTCCCAGTGCTGCAACTCACGGAATAGAGCATGAAATATGATTTTCTCATTTTCACATCACAAAAGTCTATAAAATTAGCGCAAAAAAGCCAATATCGACATTAGTCCTAATTTTGCGCACATTCCAAGCCATTTAATAAACACACATTTTATTGAAAGATGTAACCGCAGGCAACTGCTTCAACTTCTCCTCTTCAACCAGAGATTTCGATGGACCGGACGTCGGAGTTCTTGATCTCCTCCTCCTTGGGAACGGTGACGGTGAGCACGCCGTCCTCCATGGCCGCCCTCACCTGGTCCACCCTGGCGGTCTCCGGCAACCGGAACCGTCGCAGGAACTTGCCGCGGCTCCGCTCCACGCGGTGCCAGGTGTCGGTATTCTCCTCCTCCTCGCTCTTCCGCTCTCCGCTGATCTGGAGGAACCGGCCATCCTCTATCTCCACCTTCACCTCCTCCTTCTTGAGCCCCGGGATGTCGGCCTTGAAGACGTGCGCCTCCGGTGTCTCCTTCCAGTCGATGTGGGTGCCGACGAAGGCAGAGACCTCGCTAGGGAACAGGATGGAGGGGCGGGCAAGGGAGGAGGAAGAGCCGAAGGGGAAGCCATCGATCGGATCCCAGAGGTCGAGGGAGAAAGGGTCGAACAGGTTGCTCTGCCTGGAACCAGACCCAGAGCCGCGGGGGATCACCGACATCCTTGATCTATCTCACGAGGCGACGATGCTGGTGCCAATGGAGGAAAACGGATCGCAAACTACTGTAGCGAGTCGATAAGGGGAAGGGGATATATATAGGCAAGTGGGTGTACGTTTCCGGATGTTTCCCGAAGCTTCTTCGAGGAGGACGGAGGTTGGCGCGCAGGAAATAGAATATCGGGGACCTTCCGGTAGCTTCCAAAGCTTCTGGAACCTTCTGGGTAGTTCATAAACGTTTTTTATTTTTTAGTCGAAGAGATATTTATGTTTTATCATTATAATTTTATGTACTCATATAATAATTTATATTTTGTCATCGATTATAAGATAAACTACCATAAAATTTATATTTTTTTATTGTTGTTTTGATAAGAGTAAGACCTACACTTTAAAATAAGAAAAACAAATTAAAATTCTGACATAAACTTATCAAATTATTAAATAATTATTAGGATAAATTTATATGAAAAATATAAAAGAGGTAAATAAAAAAATCAGTTAACAGTTTTTTTTACAAATACATAAATTGTACCATTGAGATGGAAATCATTTTAAAAGTAATTTATTAATACTTTAGGATAATTTTATCAAGTAACATTAATTTTACTCATGAATTTGCATTAGTATTTTTCTGAGTAACTAATATGTTACTCATCTCACAGTAAATTAGTTTCCTATTTTAATTTATATTTTTTCTGCACATTACTCAGATTTCATTTACTCAATGAACTCAATTGCCAAATTTTAATTATTATTATTTCTAAGAAACCTAATATCTGCAGGACAAAAACAATTGATTTCCAAGATTTTCATGAGTTACTCACACGATCGGCCCGGCCCAGATCATCACCAAGGTGGTTAAATGACCCAATTGCAACTCGTCGAGAAGAATCCAGAAGCCTCGCGAAATCGTGACCCGCGAGCAAATGCAAGCCTCGCGAAACGTCGAGAAGCTTCCACTCGATTCCCTATATATGTCTTCTACCCGAGTCGTTATAGCCACGGCATCACCATCGTTGGAATTGGTTCATAGAAGTCCGCTTCGTCCGCAACTTTTTCCCTCATTAGCTAATCGTGATCGCTTCGATCCAAGAATGGCTCTCATTCCCGGCGGCTTTGGATTCGGCTCCCGGCGGATCAACGCCTTTGACCCCTTCTTCCCCGACCCGTGGGATTCCCTCGACGGCTTCACGTTAGGACCCTCCTCGCCTCTCCTCTCCCTTCCCCGCCCTTCTCCATTGTATTTCCCTAGTGAGTCATCGGCCTTGGTCGGCGCTCGCGTCGACTGGAAGGAGACGCCGGAGGCGCATGTCTTCAAGGCCGACCTCCCGGGGCTCAAGAAGGATGAGCTGAAGGTTGAGGTAGAGGACGGCCGGATCCTCCAGATCAGCGGCGAGCGGAAGATCGATAAGGAGGAGGGGACAGACAACTGGCATTGCGTGGAACGGAGCAGCGGCAAGTTCCTGCAACGCTTCCGTTTGCCGGAGACCGCTAGGGTGGACCAAGTGCGGGCCGCGATGAAGGACGGCGTACTCACCGTCACCGTGCCCAAGGCCGATATCAAAAAGTGTGACATCACGTCCATCGAGATCTCTGGTTGAAGGGGAGTTCCTTTAGTCTTTTTCGCAAGGATCGAGTAAATAATGCTTTGGTGATTAAAGCTGCTCTTCTATCACCATGTTCTTTTAGCTTTAGCTTCTGATATGGGCGTAACAATAGGTTCCTAATGTTGATACAAGACCATGTGTTAGGCTTTTGTGAGGATGGAGAGAAATATGTTGTTGATTTGATGTTCTTGTTCCATTGTTCTTTTTGTTTGTGAAGCGTGATCAAATGTTCTCCATCAGATTGCTTCCTAATTGAATTTCTTGAACACCCTGAAACTGTTTGTCGTTTGTCCTTCAAAAGGTGACAACGTAGGAACCCAAATCCATGAAATAACAAATCCCTTTATGATTCCGCCATGGTCCTATATTTAATTTAGAGATGTTAGCTATTTTGCTGAATGTTATTTTTCAATGCAATCGTTCTGAATGAATCATGATGTGGTGCATTGGTTTTGGTAAGGTGCCCTCCCGTCAATTTAGGGAGTTGCTTGATTCATATCTTGTTGTACAACGAAAGCAATCTTCGTAGAGTGTGGGCAAATACTCTTTATTTGTTTACATCTTAGCTTAGAATGGTAAAGGTTGCATGTAAGATCACTTCCCAAGCCTGACATCGTGCATTGGTCTGTTCTTGTTGATTTTGGTATTTGCTTGTTGTTTTGCTTGCATGTCAGATCAAACAGGGGTTGAAAAATAATATTATCGTGAATAAAATTGCAACATATGGTGATTTAGCAGATTCATGTGCATGCTCGTTGATGAGAGTGATGTCAGTTTAAAGTGCATGCATCTTTTATCAACCTGAAAGGATATGCTCTTATTCATATGCAGATCATGCAGTAAACAGATCACCTGTCAAAGTATGCGCCATCAACCGTTCTGCTTCATCAGAAATCAAAACAACTGTTCATGTCCTAAAAGGCAAGGAAGTTTATGCTACAGGTGACCCTTTAGTGCAAAGGAAACTATGCATTCAATTGCAGTCTTAATCATCCTTGATCTTAGATAAAGGCAGCTCTCATAATTACACATTATCTTGTTGTGTTGTTCTCTCTCGTAAATACTTATTTGTCTCCTGGTTCTTTCCGGATTTAGTATTACCATATCAAGAAACACGTACAATAAATTTTTAGAACAAGATAAAAGTAATTAGTTGTTCATCCGACACTAATTGATCTTGTATTGAGTCCGATGAATATACTACTATTAAATTACACTTATGTGCTTTGAGTCAGACTCACCAAATTAATGGATCAATTATTTTATAGGACCGGTTTGTGCCAAATGGTAGTGGTCGTTCTTATACTCTAGGATTTTCCTAATCAAGGAAAATAAATTCAAACATTTCATAACAAAATAGAAAAACGATCTTAATTCTCGATGCCAGAGATCTTACATCCAAAACCTTCTGGAATTGTTTTGTTCTTCCTCCATAAGGACCATCCAAATCCTGATAGTTGCAAGCTTGCCAGAACAATTGACAGAAGCCGTCGATCACATCAAGTGCGCTTTGATCTTCTTTTAAATTCCTTTTAGCAAGGTTATCGATGGCAACATGGTGCTACCATTTGTTGATAGCTGAGCAATTAACAAGCTCTGACTATGAGAGAACAGGATCGAATGCGTGAAATGTAATGAGATTAATGTCATCAATATTCAGAGATTTGTAGGAGGAACAACAGTAAATTGCTATATTTTTCCGATGCCAGACATTGTTCTTCTCAGCATATCATCCATCATTCAGAAGTCCCATTTCCAAGTTTCCGCCTCAATTAATTGTAGTCATTCTGTTGACTGAAGTGTTAGTATCTTTCTAAATTGATCCCTCTAGATCTGTTCCATTCATCAAGAATCTGAGTTTCTGAACCCATGCTACCACATTCAAGGATAACCTTTACACCACTGGGCCCTCTGGGTGACAATCAAGATCCATCATTAATGTTCGAAGCACTACAATATGCTCCTTTCCTTTTTCTTTTGAGATATTTGAATGCCTCTGTGCTTTAGGATGATGTGGTACTTCTAGGTGTTTATCTTTAAATGTGTTCATGAATCTGAGTTTGTCAACCAGTTACATGCACCACTGTTTGATAATTTGCTAGGTCTCTGTGTCCATTGGTGCTAGATTTTGATATTTTGGTTCTGAATGATGTTTATTTAGAGGCAATAAAGAAGAGGGTCCAACATGCCTAGAGTTGATGAATCCATGGAATGGGCCCCTACCCAGCACCAATCAGGTATGCCAATTATTTCTGCTTTTTTTATTTTTCTAGCCAGGATTATTAAATTGCATTGATTGACAATCCAACTTATAATCAAATCATGGTTTAGGCACTGTTTTCAAGTTTCTTTTCTCCCCTAAATTGCTGCATTGGCCTTGGATCCCAATTGCTTATTTTTCAACACCAAGACATCCGCCTTAGACCCATTTAGATGCTGGTCATCATTTGAGGGGTATCAAATTTTGCTTAAACTTCTGTGATTAACGTTTATGTAGAGGAAAGGAGTCTGCAGCATCATCACATGGTCTTCAGCTTTCGCAGTCCTTTTCTGTAATAGTTTACTTCCTGGGAAGGTGAGGATGTTGTTATCATAAGAGAGACAATTAAGACAAGAAAGTTCCTATCCTATCAGAAGCAATCAATGCTTACTAGCTTGATCGTTACGACAATATGACCTACGAGAGGTTTCTGGGTCAAAGCACTGCTATTGCTGTGGCATACTTTTTTTCTCATCCACAGTCCCTAATCTCTTAGGCATGTGCTTCGTCTAGTAAGTTGAGTTCCATGTGTCAAGTCTCTTTGCAAGATCTTGGGTAAAGTATTGTCGGCTTATCCGGTGACTGGGAATGGCTTTCTGATTATTCTTTGTGCTTATCATTGGGTTTGCTTCTCTACATATCTACATCACCACATGGGCTTCCAACCTTTTGATTGCAAAATGCCCAAGGAGATGTTCAACTTAATGCTACTCTTTCATCTCATTTTCATTATATTGATCTGCAAAAGTAAAAAAAGACTAAGGAGATTTTGCATAAGCTATTAAGGTTATGCATAGAGACATGTCAATTTTTAGCATATTAGGAATATTAACTAACCTGAATAAGAAAAAGAAGCATACCAAAAACTTTATCAAACGATCGTACATAGATCTTAGTCCTTGTTAATATCATGTTGTCTTTTGTTTTTATTGTTTAATTAATTATATCATCATAATGCTTCTTGTTGTTTAATGCCACCGGTCCAACTACATCATCTGAAGAAAGAAAAGAAGAGATCATCATTTCAAAGAAAAAGAAGCTTGTCTTCCTCAATGATTCCGGTTCACATGCCTCCAAAAGTGGAGTTGTATGTCAGACACAAGATTCCATGAACAGGTCATGTATACTGACAACTCCATTATCTAGCCACCTAGTTGCCAAGCAGGTTTTTTGATGTAAAGTCTATCATCAAGCATTGCCATCACACAGACACTAGTCTTTATTTTAGATTCTTCGATTCCTTAGATTATTGTCCTCCCTCTGTTTATTTGATCGATCGAATACTCCCGTAAAATTCCTATGTTTGCTCATGTTTGGCATTACACCTGTGCAGCAGAACAGCTCTGTTTTGCCCGGAGGTTCGAGGATGAATTACCATCTCGGGTTAAATGTCACTTTAGTGTGGTGGGACGCATGCTTTTGGGAATGAATGAGGTGTGTACCTTGATCCATCCACTTGTACCCACACTAGTTGTGATAGTTACACAAAAGGTGGTCCTCTGTTGTCCTAGAATATCTCCGGAGGACTCCGTGACCGACGGGGCGTGACAATGTGGAACAGTTATGAGCTTTCCTTGGCTTGTGTCGCATCGACGGAAACTCAAGTGGGTCACAAACAGCGAATGAGTATGGCGAATCCAGATGTGGAGATGGTAAATTGTGATCCCGATGGCTCGAATTACTCCCAAGGTTGTCAAAGGCTTTTCACAGGCACAGTGTGGTTCACATGTTATTCTTCGTTGCCAGTATGCAATTTCTCTATACTTGTAACAATCAATCTACCGGGCATGCAGGAGAAAGGAACGAGGTGAGAGACCGGAACTGCTTGCTTGATATAGTCAAAAGACAAAGACGCGTCCAGGTGGCGCTGCTGCATATCTTTTGACCCTTCACACTGACTTCATGGGCACGTTAACCCTATTTGATTACAAGAGTTAAAGGTAAGCAAACCTCTTTCTACTATTTTGACACTAGTCATTTCCTCCACGTCTTTGTGC